GATCATTCCAGAGGGCAATTTGACAGTATGTATCAAATGATTTAACAATAACAAAAAAGTATATACCATTGACCCAATAATTTTACTTCTAAGAATTTATCTTTAAAACAATTCATTAAGTTATCCTAAGATGCATGCACAAAAATGTTTAGTGGGGTATTTTTCATGGTAAAAATGTAAGAGGGAAATCCTTAATGCTCAATAGCAGAGGAGTGGTTAAACATATTATGTCTTATGATTGAAATACTATGCAGGCAATAAGAATGATGTTGTATAGATATATTTGCTGACATGGAAAGATGCCCCAAATATACTGATGAGTGAAAAAAAGCAGGTTACAGAACAATATGATTCCACTTTTTAAAAATTGTGTGGCCTATTAGGGAAAATTCAAATGCCCAATAAATGAAAATGTGCTACAATTCACTAGTAATCGATAATGAAAATTAAAACAATAGTGACATATTACTTACACCCATCAGGATGGCAAACATCAGAAAAGTGGATCCATGAGGTGGCTGGCAAGGACATGGGGAGGTGGGAACTCTCAGGAACAGCTAGTGGGAATGCAAACTGGTACAGGTATTCTGGAAAGCAATCTCACAGAATTTAGCATAGTCAGTATGTAGAAGCTTTTTGACTAAGCAATGTCATTTCTGGATATATAACCCCAAGAAATTCTCATTCTGATAGGTAAAAGGTCATGAAACAGGATGCTTATCTTATTTGTGGTGGGGGCAGGGTAGCGGTGGTGATGGAGGCAACCCAAGTGTCCCTCATTAAGAAATAAGAAAAGTAAAATGTGGAAGATGCATATTATAGAGTAATATGCAGCAGTAAGAAGAAAAAATCTGTCTACAGCCATGCCACCCTGAACGTGCCTGATTCCATCTGATCTTGGAAGCTAAGCAGAGTTGGGCCTGGTTAGTACTTGGATGGGAGACCACCTAGGAAAACCAGGTGCTGTAGGTGTTAAAAAAAAAAAGAAAGAAAGAAGGAAAGAAAGAAACAATCTACTTAGATCATTGTTTTTTTAATTGTTCAGTGAGAAAAGTAGGGAAAATTTTAACTCAATATATTCATATGTTAAAAAGATAGTCACAAAACAGCACAACAGATTTTACAAGGTTATATACATATAATAAGTATAGACATCAAACATGTTCAAAAGGGTTCCTATGAAGAATTAAAGAAGAAAAAATAATTTTAAAAAGATAGAAGTCTTACATAGACTAGTAATGACAATTTGCCTTAAACTGAGGAGTACGTAATTTAGTTCTCTGCATTTAAGTTCAATATTTAAAAGTATATGTATATGTATATGTATTATATGTAAATGTATAAAAGAGTGTCTGCTAAAATATTAATAGTAGTTATCTCTGGAAGTGGTATGAAAGGTGAATCCTTTCTTTTTTTTATACACTGAATAAATATTGTGTAATAAGTAATATGCATGTTTTATGTTTTAAAAATTTTAATATTCAGAACTACTTTCCTGCTGTTAGATAAATGTAGGTTATTATCAACTAAATTCAGCTGCCTGTGTGGTTACAGTTATTTTATTGTTTTTCCAGAATGTTCCAAAATAGCTCTGGAACAAGACCAGTGGGACCACCAGATAGCTATCTAGCCTCACCCGTCTTCCCATGTAAATGAGCACCAAGCCTCCAATTCAGCTCTGGCAGAAAGCTCTGTGGGACCCAGGATAACAAGGTCCTCTCCTTCTTGGCTGAAGGAAAGGCAGTACTCATAACTTTCTCTCACAGTCTGCTCACGACAACCTCTGCAAAGCTGCCTTGGGCAGCAGTTGCCAAAGACAAAAGGTTCCACCTCAAGAGTGGAAACTCTATTTGTAGCTTTGTAGACATGGGTGTTCTTCCAGGAGACTCAAGACCTACACTGGGGGACTGTGTTTGGCCAGGAATAGCTCAGAAAGCCTTTCTCTTAGAAGCTAGCTCTTGAGGCCTTCAGTGTATGTTTTAACTATATTTGGCAATGAAAGCCAAAAAGGTCAGTGGCTTAGCTGGGAGGTAAGTGGTGAGGAGAACTATTTGTGATTTATAGTCCCTGCTTCAAACCAGGACCAAGAATTTTAAAATTCTCTTCCTTTATTTATTTTGCCCTCGCCAGGCATACCACTAAAGTTCTCCTTCCCCGTCCTACCAGCCTCATGTAAATCTTTCAGAACCACAGGTGTTAATCGCCTAACCAAGCCATCCTCATATTAGAGGACATTTGGGGACATCTGGTTTGAGAATTCAAATGTTAAAATTATTCCACTTTACTCTCTTTGTCTTCATAGCATCAAAATAGCTTGTAGCACTTGGGTGCAAATCCAGACTCCAGCACTTATTACTCACTGTGTGCCCTTGGCTAAGTTACTCTATGTCTCTGAGGTTCAGTTACCTTATCTACAACCAGAGATAACACCTACTTCACAAGGCTGCTGAAAGAATTAAATGAGATAAGGTGTATAAAGTGGCTAGGAGAATGTCTGATACAAAGCAGGTGCTAAAAAAAGCAGCAGTTTCCATTACTCCCTTCTACCCGTAGCCATTCAGCCAAGGTGTTGGCTTTTCAAGAAATCGCCTGGTACCCCGTGTTTGATTACAAGAGGATGGTACCATTCCCACAGCCAGAAACAGTAGCTAAAGATAAAACTTGTGACTATTCTTCAGCCGAGGACAGGTCAAATCAGCTCACAAATGACTCATCACTGTTGATAAATGATATGTTCTTGGTGTCAGGAGTCCCTATCCTGACAGGATTCAACATCTTATGAAAAAAATCCAGAAGGTAAGTCGAAAGACTCACAGAATAGGTCCCCTTCAGAGGTGAACCTCAGTCAATCCTGAACTTGTACCAGACTGGTCTTAAGAGGGTCTCTGTCTCTTCAGACATGTTTCCAATGACAGGATTTTCAGTTGGAAAGGACTCCAGCTAAGTAGCTGCCTCTTTCATCTCAGAGCTGAACCATCTCCTTCACTTGCCTTGAATTCCCTGAAGGGAGTCATAAGACTCCCTGGGCGGAAGGTTAGATGCCTGTTCCCTGCTCAGAACAGCCCTAAGCTAGTGCCCAACCTGCGTTGGCAGCCTTGTCGGCTGGGCTGAAGCTCTGCCAGAGTGAGGTTTGGCTAAAGGGCTCTGTGGCTATGGGACAAACCTTGGCTCAAGAAAAAGGGTGAGTATTTAATCCCCAGCCACTGTCCTTGAGGCTGAAGTGTCTGCTACTCTCTACAGTTTCTGTAGCACCTTCAGACCACCCAGAACCACTCACTGGCACAGAAATTCCATGACTGTAATTTTTAGTCACTCTTTCATTCATACATGCCCTGTACCTTTTGCAATGCCTAGTACAGAGTTCCCTCTAAGTGAATATTTATTAAAAAGCCCTTGAGGACAAGGATGGTCTATTGCTGCATTTGTAACCCCCTCAATTCTGACGAACCTCACAAAATTGTTAAGAGAAAATAAGACAATGAACCGCATGGAGATTGACACTGTCAACAGCCAGGTGCCCAAAATAGAGGCCTTGTCTGGTCTTAAGGAAATTCCATATGCTGGGGTCTCCTTTCTTCTAATTGAAACTCTTTGAGAAGCAGGTTGTCTCTGTATCCCAGACTTAGGAACTATCTCTTTCCATGTATATGCAAGCTTTTTCTGAAAAAAATTATCATAGATCCTCAGAAGGGGCCTTGTGACATGCAATTGATGCAAAAGACCAGAGAAGGTATGTTGCCAGGAAAAATTTCTATTCTTCAAACTCATCGACAGATTTTCTTCACCAGTAAAGTTTCTGAGATCACCCGTAAGCACCAGCATTTCAGCCACGTGTTGAAGTGGAAAGGCCAGGGAAACTTTCTGGAAAGGACAAGCAATTGGTCTCCACCCTGGGTCTTCAGGATATTTGATGAGACAAATGGGGCAGGGAAATCAAAATCAGGAGTCTCTCCCTTTATACTTCCCTTCTGTCCTGTTCCCAAATGTCCCCGGACCTTTTGGTCACTCAATGGGCCTTAGCGTCAGCTTCCGACGTCAGAACTGGGGTCAACCTTCTAAGATGATAAGACATAAAGAAAGCAAGAAGGAGGAAGGAAGGAGGGAGAGAAAGGAAACCTGGAGAAGTGGAGGGAAAAAAATGAAAAAGGCTTGTGCAGGAGGAAGGAAGAGGGGAGCAGCAAGGGGAGGCGGAACAATGGAGGTTTCAGGCCGTCCGAGGCGCACGGTTCCGGCGGCACGTCCTCGCGCATGCCTTGGGCCAGCAGCTGCACACTGCGCAGCATGTGGGCTCTGAGTCACGGTCCCAAAACAGGGAGCCGCCGTGCAGGTCTGGAGGGCCAGACCTGGTTGGCATCTGCAAAATGTTTTTTTTTCCTTTCCTCTTTCATTAAAGCTGTGTGCTGACTCCCACGTAGGAGAACTTATTAAACCGCACGTACTGCCTGACGGCTCGCGGGTCTGCCCCAGGCGGCCGGCTGGGGGCGCCGCAGGCTCACTCATGACGCCGCGGGCTCTCTGGGGCACCGTCCTGGAGACGACTTAGATTTCTCTCCCTGCTGCGGGTTTCCCGCAGGAGTCCAAACGTTTTATTGGAGTAGCTTCTAACTTAAACGCCGCGGCAGCCGGGGGAGGACGCTTCACTTAGAAGGCCTCGCAGACCACCCCAACTCTCCGAGGCGCGCTTTCGCGCAGGGTTCCGTGAGCAATTCAAGATATGGGACTCTTGAGCAACCCAGAGAGTTCAGGCTTGCCTCCGCGCTAGGAATCACCCTACTCCCCCCGGCCCGGCACCCACGCGGGGATGTGACCTCTGGCATCTCCGCGAACCTCCACACGCCCCGCAGGGAGAGCAGAGCTCCTAACAGCTCTGCAGGAGCAGAGAGGGGCCAGCACTCGCCGGAGCTGCCATCCCACCTTCCCACGCCAGGAGGCGTGACATAAGGCTCCGGGATAGCCCAAGACCAGGGGCACCCTCCCTCCCAAGACGCGTGACCCGAGAATGAATCAGCATCGAGACAGTTTATTGGTTTGCTATTTCGCATATCACCCATTTTATGTAAATAGATTATACAGAGACACGACGTTTCCTTCTTCCAAAAGAGGTAATCAGTCTCTTTTTCACGCACACTCTCACACATTCCCCGCAGCAATGTTACACCTCGCTGAGACATTCATGTATTAAAATACTGAGGAAAGGGACAATACAATTGCTTTAAAATGCCCTTAATACAATATATAACGTACAAAAATATCTCTATATTTGAAGTTACAAAAAAATCTTGACAGCAACAAACTTAAATATTGATAATTACCTCTGTATATACAACACGCATTGCACTTTTTCTCTCTACGTTTTGGAAAGTTCAAGTAATAGTGGGGCTTGCGCCCCGGCGGGGTGACACCCCATGAGAAATCAGTTTGTGGGCTGTAAGGACAATGGCTCAGACCTTTGCCCCCGGGGTCTAAGCATTTGATTCTTGGTTTCTCCGTGAGCCTGGCAGACACTCCCTCGGATTCCTCTGCCTCCCCCCCACCTCCCGCCCCCCGGGACACCCTGGTCGGGTTAGAGGAAAACGAACACTGGCTCTGAGAAGGAGGGACCCCTGCAAAGCCAGGGCTCGCCGCCGTACTGTGCCTTCCGAACTCCCGCTCTCTGCAGGGCTGTCTCAGCCCGTCCTCATCAGCTGAGAGGCTCGGCTCCGGGAAGCCCTCCGCTCTGGCGAGGGATAGGGGGGCATCCGGTCGCATGCGCAACTGATCGCTGCTGCCACAGCGGCCTAAATCCTACGGAGGGTAGCGATCACTTGATGCGCTCCAGAAGCTGGAGCCCCGTGTGCCTGTGGCTCCGGGGACAGCAGAGTCCGGCCCCGGCCCGCCTCGGGCAGGGAGCGCCGGCGCCGGCGGCCGTAGCCCTGAGGGCTGATCTTACTCCTGGGGGCGACGCCGTCCTTGTCCTTGTCTGTGAACTGGTAGATCTGGTGCGCCAGCTTCTGCACCGTGCACGTCCCGAAGCGACAGCCAAAGCTCCGCAAGCCCTGGAAGTTGTTCATGCTCTGGCGGTAGCGCTTAACTCGGATGCGGGCGGCGTCCGGACTGCTGGAGAAGGGAAGGAAGGCAACATGAGACCCCTATTAAGCAGGGTCTCAGCCTCCAGGAACCGGAGCATTCGAGAACCAGAGGGGCCTGGAAACTGCTACCGTCTTCTGAACTGCCACACAGCCCTGACGATTCCCAGGGCCAGGGTAGTGGAAGAGAGCACCCCTCGCCAACCCCGCGACGGCACCGGGCATAGTTACCTGGCCTGGGTGCTGCGAGAGGCTCCCTTTACATCCTGGGGCTGAATGAGAGTCTGGACAGGCTCGGACTTCACGTCGGCGAGCCCGGTGGGGTAGCTGCTGGGCATCCGAAGTTCCCTCTTCCCACGACTTAGCGCCCATTTATTCCATCTAGAAAAAACAAATAGACTCGATTCGCACACGTCCAGGAGAGTTCCCGGCCCGTCCCTACTCGCGTTCACTTCTAATCCCTCGGGACCAACGACCAATTTCCTTGTCTTCCAGGTACAAGAAGTGGGGAAGGCACTGCCTGCGACTCACTTCTTTCTGAACTCTGACGCCACGTCGAGCCGTGCGCTGTCCGCGCCTAGGAAGGCGAGCGAGCCCAAACACAGGAGGGCGACTGGAACCAGCTTCATTCCGGCGGCGATGCGCAGACCCTGGGGAGGGAGAGAGAGGAGCGAACGTGAGCACCCGGGCGTGTCGCGCCGCCCGGGAGGGGCGCAGAGGGCGGGCAGGGGCCCCAGCGCAGGCAAGCTCAGCCCAGGCTCTGCCTCGTTCAGACGCTTATCTCCCTGGGGCGCAGAGAGACGCCAGCGGCATTTGCACCCGCCGGGAGGGTGACAGGCCCCTCAGGGGAGGCGGCTGCCTAGTGCCAGGCTCCCAGAGGTTCCCCCTAATTAATTTCTCGAAATTTGGCTGATGGAGCAGAGGGGACTGGGTCTCTGGAGTTCCAGTAGTGTGTACGAGCTGGGCCCAGGATGTGGGACGCACCCGGTAAGGGGTCCCTCACTCAGGGCTCCCAGTGCCCAGCCAAGGTCCCCCCCCTCTACCCGCCCCGCCTGCCGCACCTACCTGCTGAGGGGGTGATCTGCCAAGATATGTGAGGAGGAAGTTCGAGATGTCGCTCTGGCAGTGGTAAAAACCCAATGTCCAAGCTGCGGTGAGAAACCAGAGATGGCAAGGCTGGAGCTGTTCCGCCCAGAGTCACCAAGAAACCACCGAGTGGAAGGCGCTGGTTCCTCAGCTTTATAGTAGTACAGGGGGGAGGGGCGGGGCCTGGGCTGCCCTCACGCCCTCCCTTTCTTCCCTCCCGCGCGCGCGCTCCTGCACTTTGGCGCACACATTGCTTGCCTGTGAGTGCGGGGTGTGGGATTTGGGAGGTGGGGTGTCCCTTATGCCCAGAGGACTTGGAGATAAGCTCCAGGAGATAGGAACTGCCACAACTCTGACTTTGGGCACAGGGTTCAGACTGTAAGCCCGGGCGAGACAGGGCTGGTGCAACCTCTTGGGGTCCTTACTCAGGATCTATGCAGCTCAGAGTGCGAGGCCTCCTGGTATGGAACTGCAAGAGCCAGCGGGGGCACCACGCGGATGGCCCATGTCCCGGCCCTCGGGAGCTGTGACCTCGAATTTACCGCGCCCCCTGCCGGCTCTGCGCCTGACCTGGCAGAGACCCCAACTCCCTCGGAGCCTCAGGGATAGGGCATAAAGCACAAGCCTAGAGGAGCTGGGCTTGCCAGTACCCATTCACCCCGCCCCTAAGAGCGGTGGAGACTCCGGGGTTCTGGAATGGGCTAGTAAGATTTCACAATAGGGGCAAGGCTCGGAAAGGCTGATTTGATTGAGAATTGGGATTTGGAAGGGGGATTTATCTAAAGTTCCAGATTTTACATGTCTATTTGGAAATATAGGAATAACCAAAATAAGGAAGAACGATACCGTTTAGTTACCCCCACTTCCTTGCAATCTAATTATGCCTTATAAGGTTACAACCTGAGAGTTTGCCTGGCTGCCCTCGAAGCCTTCACTCATCCATTGTAAACGTGAGGATTTACTGCCAGGGAATACACTAATGCTTCACGTATGTTAATCTCTACAGTTTACAAAGCACAGCCAAGTACTGATCTCCTTTGATCCTCGCACCTACCCTTGAGTTAGGCAAAGAAGGTAACATTACTTTTCTCCTTTCACTAAGTGGAAAATTGAAGTTCAGAGAGAGAATGTGTTTGTCCAAAGTCACAACAAAGGTAGTAGTAAGCAGTAGAGTCCTCACCCGGCCCCCGCAAACAAGCACGGCAGACTGCGGCGTGGCGTGGATTTTTCTAAGCTGGGGTCATCATCTCGTCAAGGGGGAGAGAAGAGTCCCAGCCCCCGCCCAAGGATTTATGCCTGTTCGTGATGAATCACCCCCAAGCACGTTTGTCACTCTTTTGTGCTTTTCCATCACTGCTTCTTGACTCCACTTTCTTTCTTACTTGTCTTCTGGGGGCCAAACCGAGGAGAGAACTCAGCCCCGAAGGGTTCCCTACTTCTTGTATGCGGGCCTCTGGTGTCCTATCACCCACTACCCCAATCCCAGGTCTTGAAGCCAGGTGTCTAGACTGGGAGGCCGAGGGCGCGGTACCACTGGCACTCACCTATGGCAATTTGCTGTGTGAACGTGGACAAGTCAAGTCCTTCCTCTAGTTTCTTCATCTATAACGAGCCACTAGCAAATCTCTAAGCTTCCTACCTGCTCTGCGATACTGGTTCAGCCATACAGTGCTAAGGCGGCTGGGAGCTGGATCGCGCGGACCTTGCCTGATCTGGGTTGGCTCAGCCGCATTTTCACTCTCAGGACTGAACTATGGACATTGCACCTGAGGAAGGAAAGGGCGCGCCAAAGTTACCTATTTTAAGGACTCTTCCCAGCGGGAGTCACCTGAGCGGACCTGAGTTCCATACGAGGGCAGGGAACGAATTCCTGGCTTTGACTCTAATAAGGGTTCGGGACGCCGAGGGTCAGAGGGATGCAGCGCAGCGTACTGGCTGGGTTCGGGCCGCCTGACTGGCTGCAGGGCAGTCACCGCAGCAGACCCCGTCAGGCGGTTTGTCTGTCCACACCGCAGACAGGAGGTATTACTGCGTGTCTGCTGTTTCCAGGATCCTCCCCACCCCAACTATTTTGTTTTTCTCGCTTGTTTCCCTTTTCCCATCTTTTCTTTTCAGTTCGTCCCCTGCGAGTCGGGCTCTTTGCACAGACCTTCTTTCAGGACAGGCTGTCTGTCTTGTCTAAGGACGAGACCTACTTGTCGCCAGCTTCCAGCTGGGGCTGCGCCAAGACAGGTTTTACTTTCATTTCCCCGGCGCAAGCTTCGGACTGCTGGGGAGGTCAAGGACAGCTGGGCGCCGGCCCACAACTAGGGGCGGTCCCGTGGTCTGGACTCGCTTCTTCCAGTTCCTACCAAGCCTAGGGGGTTCGGTCTGCAGAGAACTCTGCGGCTGGACCTCGTTGCCTCTTCTCTGTATCCTTTAGGCAAGTCCCTGATCCCCTGGAAGGGAAACTGAGCTCTCGCTCCCACTGCAGGATCGCGAAGTGTGCTCTTGGTGCAGACTTCGCTCTGAACTTCCGGCAGCTTCAACAAGCGAAGCAAACCCAGGAGTGGAAACTCGGCTGTGCTCCGCCCGGCTCCAGTGCCTACGCCAGCAAAGTAGCCGCGGTGACAGGGATTCCCACCCGCGAGCCTTGGCACGCTCCTAATAAGCCCAGGTGTGCCTTGTAGCTCTGGCATGTAGAGATCTGACGTTTGAGAACCCCGCCAAATCTTTCTTTAAAGTTCTAGATGCGAAGCAAACCCAGGAGTGGAAACTCGGCTGTGCTCCGCCCGGCTCCAGTGCCTACGCCAGCAAAGTAGCCGCGGTGACAGGGATTCCCACCCGCGAGCCTTGGCACGCTCCTAATAAGCCCAGGTGTGCCTTGTAGCTCTGGCATGTAGAGATCTGACGTTTGAGAACCCCGCCAAATCTTTCTTTAAAGTTCTAGATTGGCAGCTCGGGATTTTGCCAGCACACATTCCTATCTTCGAGAGGGGGGGGGGGGGGGGGGGGGGGGGGGGGGGGGTTGGGTCCAGGATGCCAAGGGAACCCGAGTGAGGTGCACAGTCCAGAAGCATAAGCTCCCTAGAAAACTGAAATCTCATCATTGGACTATAAAAATTCTTTCCCTTCCCAAATGACTCACAACCACATTGCTAAAAGCCTATTTACAGTAAGTCCTATTTTCCCTAATTCATCATGTGTAGGTATCAGGAAAAAAGATTACAAGTTGAAATGAGAGAGAGAGAGAGAGAGAGAGAGAGAGAGAGAGAGAGAGAGAGAGAGAGAGAGAACGAGCGCGCGCGTGTGCCAGCATGTTCCCAAAAGCATCGTGGGGTTGAAATAGAAAAAAGATATAAAATTTGCCAAACACTGGCATCTGTTCTTTCCTGTGGAACCACGAGTTTGCTTACTTAATCATCGTTAAAAGAAAAAAAATCACTAGAATGCGTTTTCGGTTTAATGGTCAGATCTAGAAGGAAACACCACAGTGGGAGTTCTGCTTCTGGTGATTTGTTAACGTGCAGTTTCATCCATCCAAGTTGCAGTGATTGTAGATTCACATTGAGTACAAGGAAGGAAGGAAGTGAAGGAAGAAAACATCTTTGAAATCTCACTGGCAAAAAAAAAAAAAAAAAAAGAGAGAGAGAGAGAAAAGAAAGAAAAATTCTAAATAGTGAGCATCCGCTTTTTTTTATCCCTAAGAATTTTTTAAAGAGTCAGGTTGTAAATAAATCCCAAAGCACCGTAATAAATATGTGTATCCAGACAGCATGTATACAAACATGCAAATATGCTAAAGGCTTGTTGTTTCATGGTGTCTTACTTTCTTCTTCACATTCCAACTGAATTATTTTTAGGCCCTAAATCCAAACTTTACTCTTGGAGTTTTAAAAATTTGTGGTGGTGGTTTCTCAGCTAATTCTGTAGACACAGTCCCTAAAGCCAGTGTAACCGCACTCAGGTCATGCAGAAAAGTAATAAGAAAATAAATAATTTTAATGACATTAATAAGAATATAACTAAAAGTGAGTCACCAAGCACACTGCATAATTATTTCAGGTGCTTCTTTTTTCAAATGGGAAAATTTATAACTCATTTATTATTCGTATGGTTCAAATGCCTCTGCTAAGCTATGGGCTTGTTTACCAAAGTTCATTTGACAACGAGGTTCAAGAAGCATCCTGGAGTTATAACACAAAGTGATTTAGAGAAAGGACATAATCAGCTTTGCAGATTGGGTCACTTACAATGAGAAGTGAAGCAGGATACAAAGCTCAGGGCACTTTTTTGAAGGGGGGAGCTAATAAAATATAATAGGTCCTTTCTGGAAAAATACACATGTACATAAACCAATTTAAGTATAAAATAGGCATACAATTTCAGTAGGTTGACCAACTTAAGAATGCTGACATAGAACAAAAAGCACTGTTTCTATAGCATTACTGTTTTGGAGTGCTGGAGGCAGAAAGAGTGGTTAACATCTCTCTTTAGGGTATATTTTCCAGAGCATCAGCATAAGAAAAAAGTGATGCTTTTGCTGCCTCATTTTTGTGCTCCTACACAAAAGAGATGGACAGACACAATCAGTCCTTTTATGTTATAAAGCCAGAAGACAAACCTCCCTGAAGGTTAAAGAATGTAAGTTACCATAGGACAAATGAAAAAGAATACAGAGAAGATGATAAACATATGGAAACTTGTTTTACTAACTGGTATAACAAAACAAGATGAAATGACTTCAAAATAAATTGCCTATTGATGGCTCAATGCATGGTATTAATAAATGGATTATAAAAGAGATGATTAGACCATTTAGGGTCATCCTTAGCCAATAAGAATGGCTACCTGGCTCCAGGTGGGGACCCTAGAGATTAGAAACTGTTGAAATGAGGCAATTCTTATATATAGGTCTGCATGATTTGAAAATTCATTTGTTCCTTAAACAAATATTTACTGAGCATGTGTTACAATGCCTAGCTCTGTGCTAAGTACTGGGTATACACTGATCATCAATGCAAACGTTCTTGTCCTCAAGAGCTTACAGCATGGTGAGTAGCCAGACATTAACAAATCCTCATAGGAATAAATACATGATTTTAAAGTGTGGTAAGTGTTCCAAAAGAAAAGCAGGACTAGGGGGATTTAATGTTCTGAATGGAGGA